CTGGTGAGAGACTATTCCACAAAGCGGGACCAACGGAGAAAATCACCATTTCTGCCTCCCCATTTGTAGTTCGGGTATCCTCAGCATTCTAACCAGCACAAATGAAGTGGATAGGTTGGTTTTGCCTGAAAGAGGAAATCTTGCAGTTAAAGGTAGTCCTCATTTAGCGACCACAGTTGGGACCAGCAGCTCTGTTGTTAAGCAGTGGTCACTAAGTCAGAAATCACAAGACTGTGACTGTACTTTCCTTTTCCCCACTCCCCCACCCTTTGGGATAATTAGCAAGAAGGGCATTAATGTTTGTATTTACATTCATTGGAGAGGAAGAGATTACAAGAGAGTAAGCAGGCATACCGTGGGGAATACACCAGCTGTATGCTTAGCACACCCGGGCTGCTGGCACCAGTGCATTGCTTTCAATGTGTATTCTCCACTGTGTGCCTGCTTACTCTCTTGTAATCTCTTCCTCTCTGACCTCTCTGCTCTGCAAGGGGGAAAAAAAGAAAAACAGTGGGTCAGGCACAGCACTATGCATAGTGACTGTAATGGTGATCACGTGACTGAGAGATGCTGCAAAGGTTGTAAATGCACACCTTGGTTGCAAAGTTATTTTCTTCAGCACTGTTGTAACTTTGGTTGTTGCACAAGGTAAGCGAGGTCTGCCTGTACTTAGGAGCCAAGCTATGTCGGCCTTTAAAGGTCAACACTTTGAATTGTTCCCGGAAACCTATTGGAAGCCCTTACTGTACTTGCAGTGGAGGCATTTCATGCCTGTAATGGCTCACACACACCAGCATGTGGGCAGCTGCATTCTGCACCAATTGTAGCTTCCAAGAAGTCTTCAAAGATAGCCCCAGGGACAGCACATTGCAGTGGTCTATCCTAGTGATACGGAGGTCACGTTGGTCTCATTGAAATACAGAAGTGTGACAGTTGTTATTCCTATCTCAGTTTATCTTGTATGATTTGTGAACCATCCAAACAATTCATACATTATGATAGACCTGTTAACCAATGGGAACATGAAGGAAAGCTGCCAGCAAATGACATAGGCAAATCTGCTTAAGAGAAAAGCAGTTTCATCTGTTAACTTTTTCCCATTTTTGTTTGGCTCTGATCTCTTTTCAGAGGGTCAGGAGGTATGTAGCCTCATTACCTAACTCCTTTGGATGTCAGGAAATGTGCAATGTAGCTGAATGTCAGGTTCTTAATTAAGGAATGTATAAAGGCAAGGTTGGATGCCATTTCTTAAAATGTGTTTGTGGCCTTCGTGTAAGGAAGAGTGCTTTTTATTAATTCATCAGAAAAGTTGTTTCTTTCAGAACCCCAAACAATTTGAATACATATTCAAATGTCATTCCTCAATTGTGATGTCTGCATCTTGGTCTCTTCACCACAGATAGTATGAATTAGTATCAGCAATAAGTGTATACTGTATGTCTTTTTGAATTGTGAATTATCCCTCCTTTGCCTGCCAAACTTCTCTGTTTGGAGAATTGTATCAAGATCCCTCAAGGGAATCCAAATTTCAGAAGTGCTCATTGTATCTGAACACGTGTCTAAATACTTATTTAAAAAGAGTTCATGGCGCTGCTGCATTTATTTTGAAGGGAAAATTGGATAAGGAGGAGCAAAGAGTAAATAGTTATCTCTCTCCTCCATTCCTTTCAGAAGATTCTGGGGGGAAAAAAAGTGGTAAAGTGGGAAGGGACTTGCTAATCAGAATATGTCCATGTCTCGTAACTGAGCTTAGGCACTTCTGGAGGCATGAGGGATACAGGGAAATATGCAACTGGAGAAGACAGTAGCATTGTTAAGGCCTTGAACTCAGAAGGAAGGACTGTGTGGCTGGGGGCCATTAGACTTGTAGTCCACTAGAGGGTGTCAATTTGAGGAGAAATTCTTCATATCTTCTTTGGTTCTCCCACCTCCTCCCAAGCAGCTCTTACAGATGATGGGAATTAAGTGCATATTAAATTAACTCCATATGAATTCTCATAATGGCCATAGATAGACCATGTATCTGAGAACCACATCTGCTCCCAGAACATGAAAATTTGTGGCAGCATGGTCAAATTTGTGCAGAAATGATCTTTAAAGATCTATTAGATATGATGACACCCAGTGCTGGTTGCTAAGCAGCAAGGACAGCAGGAGTGGTTGTTTCCCTTGTGTTTGTGTGCTTTCCATAAGTATTTGATCATTTGGGCAAGAAAGATGCTGGACTAGGTGAACCTTTGGTATTATCCTGAATTATTGTTCTTTGTAGTCTGTTTGCCTTTTGCAGCAAAAGCAGAGGCTGGTGGCATCTTGAAGACTTTCTGCTCCTACCATTACTGTTGCTAAACACTAATACTTATATAATACATTTCAACTGATGTATTCTGTCATCAGTTGTTAGAAGAGATGTACAAGGAAAGACAATACTTCCTTTTTCTCCTTAGCAGCCTGTTTTTCTTGCCATAAATTGGTTCCTTATATCCCCGTTTTTCTCTCCTGTCCCTTGCCTGAGGCTAGTCTTGCTTTCTTTCCCAAAGCAGAGTGTGAGAATTGCTAATTAGCCCAGAATTAACCCATAAAGTGATTAATCAGGAGATCAGTAGAATTGATTTCCAAATATTATTTGTGGAAGGGATATGTGCTGTAGGAAATGTCTTCCAGTTCTCCAGATTCCATGTATCTCATCAGGCTAATGGGAGAGGCAGATCAAGTGAACAATCACTCTTTTTTCCCCTTGGCTTCTGGGTGCATAGGTGAAACACCATGTGCAATGAAAGAGGCAATTGGAAAAGAAGCATGCATGGATTTGACATTTTTGATTAACTTCTCATCACCACAGGTGTATTTTCTAATCCTCCTGCAGGGGAAGGGACTAGAGTTCCTGGAGAAAGAACATGCCATCCTGTGTTCAGACTAAATAAAAAGAGGGACTCCATGTGAAACATTTATCTGAGTCTGTGCAGTGCTGCATGGCTAGATAGACAGTAGTTTGAAAGTTGAGAGAGATTTCTTCTGTCCAGCAAAGGCCATATTCTTCATACCCAGAACTACAAAGCAATAGTTTACCTTGGGCTCCAAATCAGTGGGTTTCCCTAGAGCCCTTTCCCTTGAGCCCTTTCCCTTTCGGGGTGGCTTCTGTCCTGAGAGGTTCTTTTCCTCTTCAAAACCTTGATTGCCTATGCAGCACGCTTCAGCTGTTCCTCTCCCTCTCTTGTCTTTCCACTTTACTGAAAAATAAATTAGCAGACTAATTAGATGACTATCTTAAGCAGCCAGCAGTTGCTTCCTGCCACAACTCCAGCTGAATACAAGATGATCACAGCAGTTAAAAGTATCCACTTGAGACTTGGAATTGCCCAAGTTAATTTGCCTGCTCCACCTGGGGCAAGTCCCTGGGCCTCTTCCAATGTCAGCTTTTTATTTTGAAGACATGGCTGTCTCAAGATGTAAAAAGGCAGTAAAGGAAGTGCAGATGATGTCTTATTTCAGGGGGAAAATCCAAGCAGCTGCAAAAATGTATATCGGCATCCACAGTTTAGTCCACCTGTATGTTATTTAAGTAATGAATATGACTAAATTCCACACACACATCATAATAGCATGTATGATATTAACAATAATAACTTGGGAAGTTCCTCATTAATTATTTGCTTGTAGGAAAATATGTGCACATTATCAGCCTCAAAAAGCAGAAGTATTTATTTTGCTGCTGAAAATGTGAAGTTGAAAGCACAAATTGTTCTGAATGTTTTAGTCCCCAAACATCTGGAGAGCAGAAGTTTAAAAACATGATGTAGATCCAGATGTGCATCCGTATCTGCTATGTGTTATTTTATGCATTAATACCCTTTGCCAGTTTGAGACTCATTATCTGAAGGGATGGTTTTTCTGTTTCCATAACTGGAGGTGTGTGTAATATAAAGTAGTCCTTAGAATGCATATAGTCTTTTTGGCCCTTTGGAATACATTGGTTTTCAAATCTGAGATAGAGATTACATAGCCACATATATAGCATAGTTGAAAAGATTACTGATCTTGTACCACTTCTTCTAAGCAACTCTATTACTGATTGTTTGTTTCCATAGCCAATGGCAACAGGAACTCAGTAATCTCTACACAAGGTTCCTGGAAGACTGGAGGTTCCCTTTCTCCCATCCTCTCACCCTCAGCAATTTAGCCTTCATTAGTTAGCTCAGGACTACCAATGTGTGATCCTTCATATACTGTTTGACTCACAATTTCTGTAAACCCTTGTCATTGGTCAAGCAAGTGAGGATTCATGAGAGTTGGAGCTAAACAGCTACTGGAGAGCCATCCACTGCCCATCCTTGAACTTCCCATACTTGATAATTTAGTCAGCAGAAGAAGTTGGGTGAGTTGTTGTATATAAAACTAAAGCTGGAGAACTGGGTACTTTAATGTCAACCTCAGCTTAACTTCTGTTTGAAATTTGGCCCAAATTATATTTCATTTTTGAAAGCCTATCCCTGGATTCAATGATTCTTGGAATGTTTAATTAGAAGGGTTGAAATTATAAACATTGATGTAAGATTGACCCCAGTCTGACTTTCCAGTCATGGTGGAGTTCCACTACAAAACCAACTTATTTTCTTATTTAAACATCCACTATTTTGATTTGTTTGTCACATTTCCCCATTTGTGAAAATCAGATTTCTCTGTCTCTCTGCAATGTTCCACAGAATTTGTAATAGAATTACCCCATGTGAATGGATCTACAACAATAAATATTGGAAGTGCAGTTTGAAGTAAAGCTGGTGAAACAGCAAGTTATGGGCTCACTCAGTATTCTCTGCCTTATTGGTAAGAATAATGGGTTCTAGTCCAAAGGCTTTGCCACTTTTACTCAGAAAATTTGAAGGTCATGAGAAATTCACCTGCAGCAGATGCAAGAGATGGACTCTTTGGTCAAATGCTGATGTTTAGTAGAACAGATGTCAGTGAAATGCCTTGTCATTCTTGCTTATCTGTACATATTTCAGGTAGAGAGCCTGGAAGACAAATTAACGCTTTGCAGGCAAGCCTTGGAAGAGGTGGATTTTAAGCTACGCAGAGAAGAACTAACATCTGCACGAAGGTACTAGTAGAAATTCTTTCATGCCTTTTCTAACTGCATGTATCTGTGGCTCTCACAATCCACTGGTTTGATCATTGTGTGCTGCTTTGGATCAAGCAGAGGTAAAATGAGCTTCTCATTTGTTTTATAAAGGAGTATCCTGAATATAGGGGAAGAGGCAAAAATACTCCATTGAATTCTCCCCTTTACTGCTTTTCTCATGTTGCTGTATGCTTTGAGTACTGATACACTTTGAATTTCTGATAGTTCATCAAAATGTTTCTGTGGAGGTTCATTTTACTATGACTGGACACTTCACAGGTTGGATGAAAACTTTACACAACACTGTATTACGTTCCACACTTTCCCAATGCATGACTTCTGCCCTGGCTGAACACAATTCACTTCACCCTCCCAGTTCTAATGAGCTGATAACCAGTTCTTGGCTTTGACTTACTCAGCCTTTTCGGTCTTTGTAAGTTCTTATAGGTTAAAGTGGGATACAATCTTTGCCTCCCTTCAAAGTTTCTTGCACACATTGGAGATTTTGTGCAGCTTCAGCTTGGGTGTTCCTTGGGTATATCAAGCTGCAGAGCAAAGTTGTTGCCAAGCTCTAGGCTCAACTCTAAGCAGAGTTGCTGCTCAGCATGAAGCTGAGCTTCAGGCAGGAATCAAGCAGAGTTGGGGCTTCTTACTGTGGCTGTTGGTCCTATGTAGCTGGATGTCAGCCCTGTTTATTGCTTGTTGTTGCTGAAGTTGTCCAGCTGTTGTTTTTCACTTCCTTATCCCATTGCCATTTTTCCTTCTCCTATTGTCTCACCCATACACCCTCTTTTTTTTTTTTCTGTGCTGAGGGTGTGGATGTGGCAAGATGGAGTAACCTAGGTGGCTAGGGAAATCAGCCCATTTTTGAAAAGGCTAGGGTGTGGCTTAACTAGCCAGCTGTAGATGCTATTATGCCTGTCAAAACAGCTGGATGTGACCAGCTAGCTGGCTGAAATACAGGTATGAATCTCTGTGATGTGGGTCTTTGCCAGTCAGTCCACCAGCAAAGCTCTTTCATTTGGCTTTCTGGCAGAGTCAGGACAGTAGTAATTCTCACATCCTTTTCTCCTGAAGGGTGTGAGGAGGGAGGGAGAAATAAGCTCCACTTGGCTTTGGGAAGGTTGGGAGAGGGCTGCTTCAATGCCATTCTTCCAAGTGCAGAGGGGTGCTTTCAAACCATGCTCCTCTTTCTCTCACAGTTCCCTTTCTAGACCATCTTTCTGCTTCTGAGAAGTTTCCCTCCCAGTAATACTTGGAAGTCATTTAAAGTGGCTTCTGCCCCCTAGCTGCCTAGAATTTCAAATTTTGCAGCACTTTATTTCCTCTAAGTGTAATCAAATCTTGATTATGGTGCATAAAACATAGAGTTAGAGAAAGATAATCCAGAGCTAGAGCTTCTCTAACATATATTTTTCCTTTTCAAAAACCTTTTACTTGTGTAAACATTTCCCCTGACATCCATCCCCCCCTTTCTATACCTTAAGCCCACTAGGTGTAATTTTGCATTCTAAATCAGAAAACAAATTTTCCTTTCATCTAGATAAGATGTCTGAAGATTGCTTATTGGGTCTCCTATTCACCTGAATAAATATGCCCAATTACTCCTTTTCTATTTAGGCATAATTTTCCACTTGTCAACTGAACAAGTGCTTTGTTGAAGTTTATGCTAGTATAGAATAAAGTGGAACTGCTACTTTTAAAGAACAAAAACTATATAGAGAAATTAATTGGTCCTCAGTAAATTAGGGATTTAAAATCTAGTCCCTTTAGTTCAAGCAGAAGCTATTCTGTTCATAGTTCTTCATTGGCTTTTTATAGTACCAGTAGCATCTTGTCACCTCAGTCACTTTCTGATGTCATTTCTTATATAAGAACAAGAAAAGAGCTGCTGCCACTGTGGGCTTCCCCTCCGCATAGTATTAACATTAAAGGATGTGACATGATGAAATTGCCCCTTATCATTCAGATCTCAAGACATGTGATGGCTTTTGGCAGTAGAGCAAAACAATGCAGTGTAATAAACATTGGGAGGTAGCTGCACCACAGTGAAATATTGTGTTAGATCTGACCAAAGGATTCATTCTGCTCTCTGCATTCCACTTTGTGGGAAGCTCACAAGCAAAATATGAAGGAACGAACCTTCCTCTGTTTATGTTCCTCAGCAATGTTATTCAGTGGCATTCGGTGATACGGAAAACAGTATACAGCTATCACAATTAATCTAATCCTCCCATGGCGTCCACCCTAGGAGAAGGCATACAGACTACAAAGATGGGGCTGGCTGGCTTGGTTGCCTACTAATACATTTATTAGAGTTGGGGTTCCATTTCATTCTAATCCTCAAATTTCTATTCAGCTGTATTTCTCAGGATTTTTTTTTTATATTAGCCACCCAGTAATTGTAGAATTAATTGAATTTGTCTGTTTTGCTTCTTCAGATGCACTTCTACGAGCCCCACTTTTGCCTTTTCTAATATTACGTTTTCCTGCATTTTGCCCTTAATTTACCCTGTTGCCCAGTTTGGCTCCATTTTCCCTCTGGCCCTTGTTTCATTTTCTAGGGACACAAACTCTATTGTGCTTACTGCCTTTCCTAACTATACTAGAGAGCTTGCTTGGAACTGGCAAGCAAATTGCTAGTGTATCTGTATTGCCAGCTACACCAGTGCTTTTGTGTTTTCTCTGTGGTAATGGAGCTGTGGCTACAGATACTACTTTCAGGTGCTTTGTTTTGTTCTCATGCTTTAAACTGTAGATTAATTAATTTTGTGCTAGCAATATAAACTTTGGGTTTATCCCTTTTGGAAAACTGAGTTTTCTGTTTAGTTACAAGTTTTATAAAAATGAAGCAAGATTAAAATGCGTGTAGCATTTCACCCAACATGTACCAAAAAATTGATTCAAAGTTGAATATTTCATATTGTACAGGCAGGCAAGAGTCTTAAAAATGAGAGAAAAGGACCAAAATTTTTCTTTGATAGAGTTTCACTGTCCGATTCCCCTGGCTTTTTAAAAAGTCTTTAAGGAGATGAATAGACTTGGATTTAATTGTTACAAACAGCAAACACTGTAACGACTCACAGGTCAGCTATGTCACTTCAGAATCAGAAAAGGAACCATAAAACTGATATTTTAATATATGTAGGAAAATTAACATACCAAGTACAAGCATGTTCAGAGGAACACTCAGTCATATGACCATCTTCCAGCAAACAGAAGAAATCCAGCTAGGTTGTGACCTCATCTGCTGTTATAAGAGCTAGCTAGATCTTATGTGTGCCAGATAACTTTATTTCTTTTCCTAAGTATATCCCTTTCCCACTTCCTTGCAGAGAGTCACTGGAGAAAGAGAAAAATCTGCTAGAAACCAAAGCTGAAATTTATGGTAAGAAATATACTGTAGCAACCTTTCCCATTATGGTGCCCTTCAAATAGCTTGGATGTCACCCACTAGAATTCCCAGCCAGGAACTGCTAGAGGGTACCAAGTTGGGGAAGTTTCATTAAGGTAATTTCATCTGAAACTAAAATAATTCAAAGTTACCTGAGATGGAAATAGAGTTTTTAATAGCAGTATTATAAATGTGCTAAAAAGAAGCTTACATATTCCTTGATATATTAGAAATCACATACTTTGTGACAGTGACAGTGGTCATATATCTGCCTGTCTACAGTTCTGTGTAGCTAAATTTTCAAAAAAGAACTGCAAGTAAATAAAAACTAGAACCCAGAAAGGTGCAGAAGACACTGTTAAAATGATTTTTTCCACATTTAGAAGGTTCAAGAGGTCCTTCCATTTAATTTGTAAGTGCAGAGGCAGATAAGGAGGTTTGGCAGCATATATAGCACAAGCCAGTGAAGAAGGAAGAGAAGACAATGTGTGGTTTCTGTCTGTTCTAGCAGAAAACAACCGTTACAAGTTGCTGTAACTGAAATCCCTACATTAACCTATCTGTAACCCATGATGTTCACTGGCCACACTGTGTGTCCCATCATCAAGAGGGGATTAATGATCTAGGACCTTTTCTGCAGCATTGCTCCAAGAAACGCAAGCTCATTTTAATCTATGCAGTGTGTTAAGACTGTTTCATTTAGAATGAGCTGTTACAAGTGTTAAAGTCAAAAGCATCAGTGGGGATTTTTAAAGATGGCTTTATTACATTTTAAATGTGATTGCCTTTCTGTCCAAGGCAATGTACAAAACAATTAAAGAATGCTTGAATAAATATAAATAAAATGCATGCCTCCTGATCTTCTGGAAAATTGGTTTCTCAAGACTACTTAGACTGAGACTTGGAGTGATTTCTTTTATCATTTGGATTTCTTCAAAGAGAAAATAGTGTATGTTTTGTACTCCAGTAGCAGAATTTGGAGATCATCTGTTCTTGTTCGTTTGTTTACATGCAATATTTGTATACTGCTGAGTCCACATGGACTCTCAAAGGTTTACAAGAGTACACATACATTCTAATCACTAAAAGCAAGATACAAAACCTACCCCAGTATTCCAACAAATGATCACCCTTTGTTTAAAAATCCTCAGTGATATCACTAAAATTACTTATTAAAAACAAACATCTGCATATGGGCTCTGCTTTGACTGCCTTTCTAAATAGAATCAGGGAGAGTGCCATCTGTATCTCATGGGTAGAGTGTTTCATAGGAATGGAACATATACTGATAAGCACCATGCTCTTGCCCTCCCCACATCTCACAGGGATGGGGGTGCTCTCAACATCCCAACTCAAGACAAATATCTTGGGTGAGTCGGTACAGTACTATCTGAAGGCCCTGCAGGTACTAAGCCATAAAGGGCTATATGGGTTAAAACCAGCACTTTGAATTGTAGCTAGAGGCATATTGGAAGCCATTGTAGTGCCCACAAAACATCAGTGCTTCAGTATACAGCACTGAAGGCTGTCATCCAGCAGCATGCAGGATTTACATTTTGTATCAGCTGAGCTTCCAGACGGCCTTCAAAAGCAGCCCCATGCAGCATTACATTCTAGAGGTGATAATAGCCTCCAGAGATATTGCCTGCACCTCATGCTCCAAAAAGAACTGGCACACCAGCTATATAGGGAAAAGACCCCCTCACCTCCACCTACTTATCTGGCAAAGTGCTACATAAACAAAATGGCCCAAGCACTTTATAGTACTTCCTAGTACTTCTTACAGCTCTCTAAACTGGCATTAACCCCCATATTATAGATTTGAAGGAGAAGACCAAGCTACTGAAATTAAATGATGCTTGGAGGAGGATACCTAATAAGTGTATGATATTCAAAACAACTGCTCTCTATATGTCGCCTCATTTATTTGGCTGCTCATTCTGTTACACTGCTCCAGGGCAAACTTAAAATGCATTACAGGCTACTTGCACAGGACAAATATAATTTGACACTTCAGTATCTGAAATAATGAGTGTCCCAGATGTACTTGACCTCTTCTCCAGTGAGGTGATTTTAGTTCCATATTAGAAATAAGTACATGTGCTCTAAAAAATACAAGTGAAGAGAATTGTTGATTTTAATAAAGCTTTCTACAAGTTAAGGGCATTAACCTATCTTGAGAAAACAGATTATAGACTATCTTCAGAGGCTAAATGAAGTTCACTGCAAAGAAATCCTGCACTGGGTATGCCTTATACTAAAGGGAGTGCAAAACAGTCTATCATATCTTAGCACTTTTCTTGTCCATCAAAGGGAAATGGTTGTTCAGTGATCCCTTTGGGGAGACTGGTTTGTACATGATACATTTCTATCAGCTTTGATTTGTTCAGTATAAAGTATATACAGTATAAAGAACTGTAAGTAAAAGCAGTGACAAGGCTTTCCAATTCTGGATGCCCTGTGGTGAGAAGATGCTTACACTTACGTTATGTTCTGCATAAAACATTGAAAAGTGTAAATAGAGTAGCCTCCTGATAAGGTAAGAAAATGGCTCTTCAAAAATTGAGTTCATGTTTTCATTTGTGGAAACTGCAGATAAAAAGGAAATCATTAGGGTAAAGCTTTTTGGTTGAGGAGGAGCTCTTTCACAAGCTGTAGCTCTCCAGATGTTGAATAAATGTAATTTAGTGCATTTCTCACCATAGACATGCTGTGTGGTATTGCTGAGAACTCTAGTTCAGCTGCATTGGGCAGGCTATGGGTTCCCAACTCCTGGCTAAACTAAAACTTTAGTTTGTATCAGACTATATCTTAAAATCTCCTGCCCCAGAAAGGAACACACTATCTTAAGATCAAGCGGTGATTGGAGACAGAGCTGAATAATTGGCTGCGACAGCGGCAAACAGTACAAGGATAAAGTCAATACAGCCTAACTGGGAAGAAACAGAAAAGTCTCAGAACTACTGGAAAGGAATTCACAGTCAGTAGTTGCTGTGAAGAATCAAAATCTCCCCTTTCCAAAGTGTGTCTCTGTAGCAGGAAATTATCAAAGAACAGAATTAGAGTCCAGAACTAAGTTCAAAGGCATTAGCAGGGAAGAGCTCTGACACAAGGCATCATCATGCCAGGGAATTTTCTTTGCATTTCAAAAGGGCACAGAGTAGTTAACATTGCCTAAAGCTGGAAAGGATACTTGAAAGATTAAGCAGTGTGTGTGTGTGTGTGTGTGTGTACATATATATACATACATACATACACACACGCACTGGTCAGAAGTTAATCTCTGTACAGCCACTGTTTAAATCAGTAATTTTAATTGTAAAAGACATTGCTAATGGAGCAACAGCTGCATTTTCCCAATGTACAAGTATTGAGGATTAGGCTAAGAAAAATGGGAGTTTATCCTGTTGAAGAAAGGTCACAGGCAGCAACTTCCTTTCCAGATACTACCTTTCTTGCTCCTCCACAGATGCAGGACCCTGCTAGGAACTTTGACAGAATAAATATTACCTTAATTCTTGCTTTTCTTTGCTGTCTGGAAAGGCCCTAATGGATAATTGTGTTATCCTACTATCTATCCTTGGCTGTTTAGGTTGCACTGCCACCTGCTGGATTATTGAAAATTTCAGGATAAATTATTTTCACATTATGAATTTGAAAATATTTTTCAGTACATTAAAGCATGCATCTTAGAATTTGAAAGCAGCACCCATATTTGAAAACATATGTAGCCTGTATGAAAATTCGTTGGGGACTAAAAATCTGAATTACAGTATCATGAGCATTTTAACTGCATCATCTTGTACGATTTTAAACAGTACTGCTGGTTGTTGTTAGCAATCCCAATTAACTTCACTTCCCAGATTTTCTAGCCATAATCTTTTTGTACAGTTTTTCCGTATATTCATGCTATCTTTGTATCTTTCTCCAGTACAACTTTGTCTTCCTGTTTTTTTAATCATGCCCATTTTTGCATAAAAGCTTCCTTGGATTTCTGTAAATTTCCAAAATAAATCTTTATTTTTTCCTATTCAGTTGTTTACTTTCTTTGCACTGCTTGTTTATGTGTAACTTTGTCTCTTTTTGCTCATCTGTGGAACTTAATGCTTAGGAGGGCAAATTGTCCTGTCCTTGCTGAAGCTACTCTACTAATTCATAGTAAATATGTATGAAAATTTTTAAAAACTTAAGAAAATTTAATAACTTCCTTGCCACATCATCTAGGAATGGTTCGGGATTGGATTTTTTTTTCCCTAATAAATTTGCAGTATTTTCATGCCCACAATTGATACTATGTTGAGAAATAGTCGGCATTCAGGCTCAGGGAACAAGGAGAAAGCATCCCATAATAGTATCTGGAGCTGCCATTCAGCCAAGGGCTAGAGACGTTTTGCCCATGTTTTAATGCACTGAGCTCTTCTCGAGGGCAAATTGTCCTGTCCTTGCTGAAGCTACTCTACTAATTCATAGTAAATATGTATGAAAATTTTTAAAAACTTAAGAAAATTTAATAACTTCCTTGCCACATCATCTAGGAATGGTTCAGGATTGGATTTTTTTTTCCCTAATAAATTTGCAGTATTTTCATGCCCACAATTGATACTATGTTGAGAAATAGTCGGCATTCAGGCTCAGGGAACAAGGAGAAAGCATCCCATAATAGTATCTGGAGCTGCCATTCAGCCAAGGGCTAGAGACCTTTTGCCCATGTTTTAATGCACTGAGCTCTTCTCGCTAAAGCTGCCTCCCTTAGGGATCTAGCAAATATAAAGGGACATCTGCCTGAGCTGTTATATTAACACCCAAGACTTCCCATTAAAATCATACTCCTCTGGCAGTCCCACGTTGAGCTGCACTGACCTCTGCTGCCACTGCAGTCAGTAACAATGATTCTGTTGTCAAATAAGCCGTCCCCAAACTCTGACCTCTACCAGAAATTACAAAAGCACTGAAATTGCCTCTGAATAGGCTTGATTGCTGTATAGCAGCACAAAATAGATATATGAAAACGGTATAGTGCAGAAGTTGAATAGCCTTTGACTTCATTTTAAAGTAGCTTTTTTATTACATTTGTATGTCACCCTTCCTCCAAGGCACTCGGAATACATAGAATGGAATCTAGCATCCTACTATAACATAGAAGTTCTTTTTCCCCTGTGTCAGGTCTTCATAATCTAGATTCTGTAGATCAGTCTGCACAATTCAGATTCATCATTCAGTTAGTCAGCTACATCCCTGCAGTAATTCCTTTTGAGGCAACATTTTTTTCTACTCAAGATGTTTTATGACACATAAGTAGGTAAAATGCTTACGATCAAAAGTCATGTTTAATTGATGAGCCTTTAGCAGCCTAGTGCTTTTCTACTGGTAACCCTAAAACTCTTGACTCAAAGGTTTAATAAGAATAAATTCCTGCTTTAAAATTTGGGGCATCTTAAACACTTGTTATCCTTTCTTCCACTCCCACCTCCTAACCCACTGGGTTAAAAAAAAATACATTTTTAATCATTTGAGATCCCAACCCGCTGAATATTCTGTAAAGACACATTCTCTGTAAATCAGAGCAATTCTACCATCATGGTCTTCTTTCAATCATTTGATGGCTTAAATTAAAATACCATATTTTATGTTTCTACAAGAGCCTTTTTTAAAAATGTTGTTCTCTACTTACTCTTAAAAGCATTAAGCAGAAGCCACAAGTTAAATGTCAGAGTATTGACAGTATTCCAGATTTAATTTTATAAGGATACTTTGAACATCTTAAGATTTCCTTTCATGAAATACAGTTGATTAACCTTTTTCATCTTTTGAGAGCAATATGTAGACACCAGGCAGACATACATACATACAAAGTAAACTAAAAGCTCACAATATTTAGAATAAGACTCCTGGATTTCACACTGCACCTTATTCAACTCTTATTATGATTCAGGTCCCATGGAAAATTTACCCATCTGCAAAATACATGGCAGAAAAAGAAAAATACAATAGGAAGTTATAATATAAAAAAAATAGAAAATTACAATGATACTCCAAAACAGGTGAAACTTGTAACTTTAGAAACGTTAAAAAGGCTTTTGTGTTCCAAGTTCTACAACTGCAGCTGATGAGGGTGACAGAGGCAACCCCCCGCTCAAAAAAAAATAAAAAAAATACATGCCTCTTTTACTGTCTAGCTATCTGGTGATAGACACGTCTAAAATCCTAATCCTGGCAGGTTTAGTAATACTGCAAAAGTCTTAAGAAAGAGACCTTGATATTTAAAACAAATTACATTTTATTTTGAGAAGTATATAGTATCTTCACAATATGCTTGTTTTTTTTCCTTTCCAGAGAAAGAGCTCAAAATGCTTCGTCATGAGAATCGGAAGACTGTAGCACTCTCAGCAGCCATCATACTGCTAGTGTTTATTATTTATACCTGCTGGACAATGTAACAATTGGGAGCTGAAATCTAATGACTTGACGGTGATGATTCTACCTCCCATCTCTGATTGTGTCAAGGGTGAGATCAGCTTTTCATACCAATGTGCTCTGTAACTTTCAGACCATCTTAGGGTAGTCCTCACAAAGAACATTTGAGGAAAATTAACAGATGAGAAGAGGTTGGCTTAGTTGGATCTTCCAGCTGACGGCTAGGGAATGGGATTTTGAAGACAGGTAGTTGCACCCTAATTATGGAATAGTTTTCACAGAGAAACTCAGCTGGAGCCACTGTACTTTTTTTTTTTTTTTTAATGGTAGGCAATATACAGTATATCTTTATAGAGGCTTCTAAAACAACTTCTTGTCTGTGTCTTTCATTAAGTCCTTTTAATCATTTTAAAAATATTTTCAGGTCATGGATCTTTTTAACGCCATTGTGTTTTGTGAGCCAGTTGACTACTTTTTGGAACTGTATTAATAAATAGCATGTATTCTAAGGGAAAAAAATATTGTATGGTTTTGCCTTCTTTAAAGAAACCACCTATCTAGGTGATGATTATTAATATTATTTGCATTTTGAAGCGAATTAACAGTATAAAATTTTTTTAATAAAGGTTCTTCCCTTTTCCAAAAAAGCACTTTTTCCCCTTCCATTTTCCCTGGCAGGTCTCCCCTATCAGGAAAGAGTGCTTTGTAATTCTACTTCCTTTCCTGACTTTTAAGTTTTTCACCAAGTTAGAGTTAATTGGCTTGACATTTTCCTGACTGCAACAATGCCTCAAGTTCAGTACCTATTAGCAGTACCTATTAGCACCTCCGTTGTTGTAGGAAGAAGGCATTCTAATGCTGTCAAGCTGCTTTGTTTTGCTTTGGAAATACACTCATGGCTCCTTTTGTTTTCTGCTTCAAAAATGTGCTCCAGGCTCACTCCTTTTGTTTTCTACTTGGGAAATATAACCATGGCTCCCTCCTTTTGTGTCTGTGATTCAATGACATCCCTCCTTCCAAAAAATATATATATAAATCGCCTTTAAACTTTGCTGTTTTAAGTAAGAAAAGAGAAACTCTGCTCTTACCTCCTTGCAAGTAAATAAATTGCCTGTGTGTCTGATGATTTAAATCCTTTTTCCTTAACATTATTTAAATATCAGGACTCTGCAAATTTCAGAAATGACTTGGAAAAAGTGCTTCAGACCTCATGTGAGCTGAGCACCTCTCTATTAAAGCAGCCCATTTTTCAGTCTTCCGCTTAAACCTGAAAAAGATACTACTGCCTTAAGGAGTCAACTCATCAAAGGCGATACCACTCTTCAAGCAGCCTCACTAGCAATATAATCAGGCATTTTGAAAATAAAACCCACTCCATTTTTGCCTAAATATCAGCTGTGCAAAGCATTTGAAAGAACTACTTCAGAAAGCCTGTTGACACCAGCAAAGCACCCCCCGCTGAAGTGCTGAGGAAGCTGTACTGTTTAGAACTCCTTCAATAACTGCACATGGATGTGACTATCAGCAAAGTGGCTGTGCATAAGCAGACATTGAGATAGCTTGTGAGGCTTCCAAAGGACGTGGCTGCTTCAAAGCTTTGAGGAGAACTGCTTCATTTACACTAGAGTTGGCTTTAAGAATCATTTATTTCAAATCTCTGTATACCCCAATCATATACTAGGGATGTGCACAAAACTTAACAAATAATTGTTTCAATCTTGTAAGAAAACAGTCCCCTTGGGACATTCCACTGGAACATCTCTTTCCTGCAACTGCTTAACAAAATATAATACTACATAAGAAACTTATGTTGATATATATTGCAAATCAAAATTATTTTGGCATATTTCACAAGGTAATTTTTTATCTGGATGAGCCTGTTTTCTATACAAACTTCTACCAACTGCATCTCCTAAAGTTTGACTACTACAGACTGAACATTTTCCAGTGGGGTTACAAAAAAGCTGCCTGTTTTCTGATGGGGCTTTGGCTCTAGAAGGGAGACACATATATCTTGCCCCAAATTTAACCTTTTAAAGCAGTTTTTCTTTCCCCTCACCCCACCCCCTTTGCCCTTGGGAAATTACAGAGACTCTGTAGCAGTTCAGTCTTCCATTATCTCACCAGCCATATCTTGTAAACCAATTGCTTAGGCATTCTCTCACACATGCACCCCTCTTGCACAGTTCCAATGCTACTGACAAGTGTTACGTACTCATTTAAGTCTATTCTGCCTTTTGTCTGAAAGCTAAAGGCAGCTTATAGGGTAGGTCTCCTAATGTTATCCCCACATCCACTCTGTGAAGTAGGTTGGGCTGAAACAGCGGCAGACCTAAACTCACCCAGTGAGCTCCTGGGACAAGTGGTGCCAGAACTTGTTCTTCCTCAGCCCAGTACGTATCACAGAGTGCTAGAATATTTATCTAAGCCAAGAACAAAACACATTACTAAATTACAAGGATTGTATTGGCAATACAGACAAAAAAGGGACGAGAAATCATCACAACTGATACACAGCTTCACAGAACACACATTGTAAACATTTCTTTCAGCAAGACATTTTTACCTCCTTCCCCTCACCTCAACCCTTCACAGACCAGTAAGAGAACAAACAAGAACAAGTTGAACTATCCACTAATCAAATATTTTCAATATTCTCTTTGTACTCTGGGCATTTGGGCTCTGAATCAATATGAGGTCATTTTTCAGTACTGGAATTAATTTTGTTCTAAAGTCTCCAGGTACACACTCTTTAAATAGTTAAGATTTTTAAACCCTTACAGAGTTTTCCTAGGAGAAGGCCACAAACCAGGACTCTAGTAGTAGCCAAAGTGAACAAAGTGAGGGCAGATATTTTGGGTACCACTGTGACTCCATACACAACATTATCTGCCAATCACTCTCTAATAATATAGACTAAAATCAAACTTGCAATGAAATCTTCCTTCTGAAATATTCTATTCTAACTTGCAATGAGGTCCTTAACTAGAAATATAACCTTAAAAATTGGTAACACCTGATGTAAAGGATTTAAAGCAAAATAAAATGTTTGACCTATTTGTTGTATCATGATGGTCAGGGAAGAAGGTGGCAACCCCCCCTCATCAAATTATTTTAAAACCAAGACTATGAACTCTAGATTGTCAAAGGTTATTTAATCGTTGTCACTTCCTATTGCAAATAAACAGTCAATTTACTGTTTTACCCTCTAGCCTGCTAAGGCAAACAAACATATTGTATGGGAAGGCAATTTGTTTTGAAACGTGACCCATTCTTGCCAAAAGAATCCTAAAAGCTAAAGCTTTGTTTTGGAACCCTCAAAGATGTTTACCAAATCTCAGAGATGATCCTCAATATTAAGTGCTTTTGTATGCTTCAGCCTTTGTGAGAAATGGGGACCCTTAAACTTCCATTCTTCCTGATAATATTTTTCAACAGAGGAATCTAGAAACAAGATAGTATGATGATGGCAATTAAGCTACATAACTGCTATTGCTAAAGTGCAGTATTAACCTACACTGTTCTTGAACTGGCTCTGAAAGACAGAACTATTTATTTTAGCTAAGATTCATTAAGATTTAATGGTAGTGTGCAAACATTCTGAATTCAAAATACTGAGAGTTCAAAAGATGTGTTTCAACCATTCTAAAAGTGTTCTGAGCTTGAAATGTCCCATTTTAAGCTCAAAACTATTTCAAACTTAAGACAGAATTGTTTTGAGCCTTGAACACTTCAATATGTCAGAACAACCATTCTGAACTTAGAACAACTCTTTCAATCTCAAAACATCTTATATTCAAAATATTTTGCCCACCCCTAAGGTCTGTGGAATTTAAAATTGGTTCTGTGCTGCTCAACTTGAATGGAGATAAAATCTATATAGAAACATCTACTTTCCCACAACTCAAATCCATTTTTTGACCATTTTCTTTGTCAAAAAGACTTGGATGATGCCTTCACTTATAGGACACCTCACATTTCTTTAAGACACAACCCAGGCACCACTTACTCAATCACACAGTCAATACCTTCCTGCCAATGTGTGCAAAGATTCAGTTTTAATTTTTTGAAAGCCAAAAGAAGTTGCTCTCTTTAGAAATATGCATTTTTTCCACTGGATCTAATCTATATAGTTCCTTTAAAGCAAATTCTCTAAATTCCAAATCTCCTTTACTTTCTGAAGGGAAAGTACTGGGTATAGAATTCAGAGAGAAAAATACTTGGACGGGCATATCTGAAGGTGGAGAGTGAGAAAAAGCATAATATATTTACTTGCATAGAAGCATAAAATCCAACTTTGATGAGAGTCACTATCGGCAATAAGCATATCTAAATTATTAATTCAAAAACTCTACCTGTCGGGTTTCTTCCTGCTAAGATCTGAACTCTCAGAACTTCTAGGCTGCAGTCACAAGCCAAATTACAAGAATCAAGTACACTTCCCAGTGAATTCACATAAAGAGGAACAAGAAAGAGTTACTAAAAGTATATTTGTTTTTCTGTCCTCATTTGAGTAGTTTAGCCAACAGTCATCTGGCCTCCAATTTTACAAATGCCAAGAGTCTTCTGTGCATCCTCTTCTTCCTTCGTTGCCTGCTAATACAGCCCAGATGTCAGGAGGGAAAAGCCCTAGGAAGATACAGTGAGGATCCATTCAGAAGAATGTGCACTGCTCCAGTCTTAGCACAGCCAGGAGCAGATATTTATATACTGTACTATTTTATAATCCAAAGCCTTCTCCTATTTCTTTTGGATTGAGTCCTTATCATCCAATCGGACCACTTTGACAAGTGTTTTTCTCCATGACTCCCTGCTGAATATTCCAGGTCAGGGTCATTCCCCATACCCTAAGATCTGACGAGAGAGTAATCACAGGGTGAAATGTTGTCTGATGAAGGACAGAACAGCTTCTTTCGATAGTTTCTCTGGATCTTCTCTTTTCTGAGAGTCATGTACTTTGATACCATCATCCCATTCCCAGAAGAGGCGACCAAAATAACAAATGCTGTGTGCAAAGAAGACACAAATCATTATAAATAGTTGACCCAACTGATGAAATACAATGCATTTATTTTGTTGGTAGATTTATATCCATCCTTTCCTGCAGGTCAGGGTGGTATACTCCGTCATCCAATTTTTACCAACAACAACTATAAGCGACAGGTTGGGCTGAAAGATAATGATTGGCATAAAATCACCTATGGAACCTCCATGACTGTGGGTCTCCCAGGTCCTAATCTAGCAGCTGAAATACTACCTGCACTGATTACAGGTATAAAGACCTCCAATCACAAACATTTCTAGTTATTCAAAGTAGCAGGGCAAATGCATGTGTTTGAGCCAAGTAATCATGGACTGTATCAAGTTAAATCAGAGAGTCCCACCCTTTGAGGGTCTGTGGACAAATTTTTTGAGAAAATATAAACATAATGACTATTAGAAGAGTTGGCTCACTTACAGAATGATTGCTATCATCAGCACAGCAACACCTATCACAGTAAGCAAATGGTAATGCTCAGGGACAAGTAATTTGTCCAAAATACTAACTGTGATGCAGCGAGGGGCCTGAAATATAAAAACACTCATCTGAATCCATGTTCTGCTCCAAAAGAATGCTCCCCGTTTCTCAAAAGATGAAACACTCATTTCGCAAACAGCACTCTTTTTACACTAGCCAATTCAAATTTCTTTCTCCCTCTGCCAGCTAACTCATATATGCCATGTTTGTCAACTTGCTCCTGCTAGCAGACCTGCCTCTATGTGCCCCGCACTCCAGGGCTCTTTCCCATACATATCCGCTTCATTTATCATTCATTTATGGCTCCCTCTTTTCTTCAATCTCCCCCCATTCTTTCATCAGCTCTACTGTCCATCCTCCTCTATCTATCACCTTTTAAATCATGACAAACAGTCATCACTGGGTCATCTCTCCCTTTTCCCAGCTCCAAACTTGTGTCCACCTAGAATTAAAACATGTGCAGGGAAGGTCCACTGAGAAGCAGCAAGCACACAAGGCTGTAAGACTGTGAGGATTTTTTCCCTTAAGTACAGCAAAGCAATCCACCACTGAGAACCACAGCATGGTGGGCACCATGACAGGCCTCTGGGAACACCACACAGGTGATATCAGAGTTAAGTAGTAGAATAAAACTATGTTTTAGAAATAACTTCCACATCACACTGAAGCTCTTTTTATAGGCCTTTGGCATGATGTGCATTTTTTTCTCTAAAAAGAAGCAAAGTATATATACTTAATGATCTCTAGCCATTTTTAAACCTGATGAAATATCAAAGGGACATAAATTCTGTGTATAACTTCACAAATTAGATTATTTCTTATTCTGACATTTGGTTATTTTACTAAATCTGTATTATTTAGGCCAAGACAATCCCTAAACTTAATCACCTTGTTCCTAAGCTGCTACTATGGATTAATGATAGTAAAGGAAAAGAAAGAGCGATGGGAGAGACAGAATGATGGATTATTCATCTGAATGGTTGCTTTTATTCCTTTTTTTTTTTTAATGACTGTATGCAAATGTATTCCAGAGAATTGTCTCTGAAATAAAGGAAACAGTAGTCTGAGGAGTTTATGAAAGTGTCACCTCTTCAACCTTTATGGGCACAGCAACCAACTCTAAAAACCAGGGGCAGGGGGAGAAAGAATCAGAAGTATGGCTAGGAACTATGGTAGGTTGCACTTCTTACAGCAAGGCCTTCCCAATATCTACAAAGTAAATGTTCAGGCAGTCCACATAGTCTTACTTTCTATTGCTTCACACAACTGGACTGAGTTGATAAAACATTTAATTTATTTTATGGCATTATCTTTACATTTCCCCATGTAAGTCCATCGTTAGCAAAGGGGGGTATCTGCTGTCAACTCCAAATTGGAATGTCTATCTTATGTTGGATTTGCAGACTCAAAGCATTAGAAGTCAGTATCTGATCAAATGTGGAAAGTTTTTTGTTTTTACTTCCAGTGCCTTAATTAAATGCCTAACTTCACCTAGATCAAATATTTTGCAGGATCTGAAGGACTGCTATTACAAAGACACCCAGTCAAACCTAGAAATAGAAGAGGTTTTAACAGAAACTGTCTTATTTGTGTATCAAGTCAGAACATGCATGGGTAAGATGAGAGCCCACACACAGAGATTGAAAATGTTAAGGCATCTGCAAGGGAAATGAAGTAAACTCACAAAAATATATGAAAATGCCTTACACAAAAAGATCTGACAAACAAAATAAATGCAGTAGGAACTGTAGCAATATTCTAAATAAAAGAAATTGCATAAATTCTGAACTTTTTATACATACTCAAACGCATGCACACACACACAACTCTCCCTTATTTTAAACTGTCTTACTGAACAGGTATTCCTAAGCACAGATTCTCTCCTTGGTTTGAGACTGCTGGCAAACTGTATAAAAACCAAGTACCTCTTTGCAAGAGAGATAACAGCCGGGTCCAACAATTACTGGCATTTAATATTCACAGCCTATTTAGTTACACTATTTTAAGAGATTGATTATTGGACTCAAAGCATTGTGACAAGAATATATATCAGTGTCTAATTATAAACACATTAAAGCTCACATGGTAATGCAATGCATCCATTACTAAAATCACACTTGGAATAGCTCTAAAAATACCAGGACTGAAGAAGCTTCCATTTTCTAGTGAAGTACTGTCAGGAAAAGTGTACAATGTGATGGTAAGAGAAGGAGAAAAGTGTGTACAAAAAAGTGTGTTACTGCACTTAGACACCAAAGAAAAATAAGCTCAAAGGGTTCACAGTTTGTGTCAAAATTCATCAGTAAAAGAGGAGGAAAACTAGAAACAAATCAGGAACAGATCACAAGTCTTGGCAGTCTCGGTTGCAAGGACTAGATTCGCCTTGATTAAAAAGAGAAACAAAAGTGAAAATGAAACATTTACTGTACTATCCATCCATCCATCCAGCTACTCCTTTACACTTTGAATAAAATTACAAAATATCTGTATCATATATTGCAGATATCAAATATTCAACTTTACAAGAAGGATCTGATGGGCAGGAATAGAGACCCTTATAGATGAAGGAAACGGCAAAATTATAGAGATTAAAATGACAAGAATAGGCAGGGTATATCTGTCCACAACAATGTGGCTGCAGAAATTTTCTTGGGTGCTCCCACTAGACTCTCCTTCTTATTAAATGTTTTTTTTCCCCAGATTCTTTTAATTTAAAAAATGGGAAGCTGGCATGCTGCAAAGCTAAGCACTAATCTTTAGGTTCACCTTTCTTGGAAAAATGCATCTGAATGTGAAAATAAAGAAGGGGATGGCTGCAGCCCACTGTTCTGCTTGAAAGCATACCCATCTGCACACTTTCTACACAGTAGGAAGCATGCTGGAAATCTAGAAGTGATGGCAAGAAACAAGATGGCAAATAAATGAATGTTCCATGAATACCCATAACTGTGATGGCAACCTATCTCCACTCCCACCTCAAATAATAGCAATATTAGAAGAGCATCCTCACCAAGTTCTCAAAATTTCAAAAGTGCAAATATCAGCTAAAAGATTTCCTGTCCCTGGCATGAGACACAGAAAGGAGTGGTGTGACAAATGGCTGGTGGGGAAGAGAAAATAGTTACAAATTAGGACCTAGTAAACGTGTTTAAAGTATTCTGGGAAAATTGAGAAAAAAAGTTGTTCTTAAATTCTTACAGAAATTCACTTGAGAGAATCAGAACCCCAAAGTTACAGAGTAAGAAAATGGAAAAAGCAGATAATAGAGAAAATTGGAGAAAGCTTCTTCAGAAAGCTATGAATGAGAAGAGTATCTCTGAGGAATAAGCCTGTACATCTCCAGCTGAAAGGAGAGAATCCAGCCCTCCTTTATAGCACAAAAGCTTGATAGAGGAAAGTGAATGGTCGAGCACATTTCTTACAGAAAGCACTTGCAAATTTAAATGAAGTCCACAAGATCAAAGACTATCATCTTAAAAGAACTTCAGGCATAACAATTTTTTTTCAAAAATACAGAACAAAAAGATTGTGAAGGAAAATGATCACAACTGACTGAAAGCTACAGAAGCTCCACAAATTTAAGATCATGAAGGGATCGTATTGGTTGTTCGAATGTTCACATCTTTGTTTCTTCCTTGACTGATAGAACTATGTTCTGAGTGAACTCCTCTCAAATTCTGATCTGGGGAAGACATTTTTCTAAAGAACTCCCTCCTAATAAAATGAGCAATTAAACTTACATCAAGTGAGGAAAGAGACAATCCAATCCAAAATACAGACTGAACAAGACAGTCTGCAAAATTTACCTATGTGCAAGCTGTATAACAGCCTGCAATTTAACTTCACAATCTCTTCTACAAAATGTCTTTAATGTGCCAGATGCGGAAAAGTGATTTACAACTGCAAAGAAAGCTCAGACATCCAAATGTGGTTCTTTGATGAAAGGAAGAATGATTATAAAAGCATAGGAAAGAAGCAAGGAAAGAGCTATGAATTAAAATATAATTTAGGGCCATTATAAATTATAAACAAAATATAAATGGAGTCCAATGATGTAAAGAGATTAACTGAAAAACAGATGATGCAAATGCAAACAGCAAATACAATAGGTGGTAAAATCTATAATAAACTAGCATCTGGACTTTTAAACCAAGAAAGTAAAAATGAACAAAAACAAACTTTCTTCTTACTTCTTTCTTAAAGTTGGCAGGACTTCAAATTCAGAACCTGCAAGTCACTCTCTTTGACCAGCAGGTTATTCTGCAAGATCCAGCACAGAAGCAAACTCTTTTGTTTGGAGTAATGAATTAAAAATGCACGTCTCTACTTTTGTTTATGTGACTTAATTATCTTTTAATTGCTATTTAAAGGTATTATAGGCATCCAGAATTCCCAACCACATGCCGCAAGCGTTGATACAACACTGCCTCCTCTTGGACAATTCCTACACTTGAAAACCAATTTCTGGCTTCCAGCTGTTTAAATGCTAATGCTTCTATCCTGCAAAGTTTTACCAATTTCAACAAGAACCTAATAATCATCATTCTCTGAAGAGACTAAAGAAGCTTCAGCATGAATACAATACTATTCTGAAGGTGTCTGTTACATAAACCAATCTAAATCACATTGAACGTGCAATGTTCATGAGAAATAAATTACTCCAGTCCCCATGTGAATTTTGTTTCACTTTTTTTCCTGTCATAAAAGGATGGAAGCTGACAAGAACCTGGATCCAACCTGGCATACATACCAGAATCTAAAATATCTCACCAGACTTTATCAGACAAAACAAATTCAGCTGTAAGGAAAGCAATGCTTTGGAAAGCATATTGGTTCAGAATTATCTCACAGGTTTTTGTTTGCTTTAATTGTTTTTAGAAATTACAGAACAGAAGGGAAAATAAATAAATAAAAAGTTATGATGTAATGCTGCACCTAGGCTTCCCCCACCTGGAGGAATTGTTACTGTTTGCAATGCAATACTCACTGAAATGGTGCAACAGATTCTGGAGGCAGTTCGTATGTGGCATGTTGTGTTGCCTTATTGTAGAAAAACTTTCTGTTAGAGGTTTTGCTGAATCCCATGGTCCAGGGCTCTTTGAAAAAAACCAAAAAGATGGGATCAAAAAACAAAAGAGGAGAAAGAGACACATCAAAATTTCTGATTGTATTGTTCCTTTGTAGTATTTTCAGCAAAGATCTAACGTATAAACTATTGTTTGGCTAATGTGGCATAAGAACATCAAAATAGACAGATAGGTAATTTCCCATAGAACAGCAGCCATGCAATAATCACATAGAGGAAATCTGTAGGAACTCTTCATGCACAGGACCAACTAGGATGCAACGTTTATGTTGAACTATTCTTGCATTTTAAAATGTTCTAAAAATGCTTTACTTAAGCAACAGTTTAGCCAGGGCTGTATCTAGGGGGACAAACTTTTTCTTCTCTCAGATGGATAACTTGTATCTTTCATAATGATTACTCTTTTAAAAAATAGAATCATTTTACTCACAAAGAGGATAGCAGGTAAAAAAAAACAGACTTCAGTTCAACCATAGCAAGATTGAGTGGCTGTGGGGTTTGGGCCCTCTGATTCTAAGGACTCCCTATTTTTGGTCCTGGATGGAATTGCACTCACCATGCAGAACTGGTATGCAATTTGAGCACCCTCTTGTACCCATTCGTGGATTGGGAGTTTTTACTCACAGTTACTCATGCTCTGGTGACTTCCCATTTGGGCTACTGCAATGCACTCTACGTGGGGTTGCCCTTGAAAGCCACCCAGAAGATGCAATTGGTCCAATGCAGCAATGTGAGCAGGTATGTTTGGTACACTCATGTAACACCACTACTTGTGAGCTGCACTGACTTTCTGTAAGCTTTCAAGGTGCTAGTTATCACCTATAAAACCCTTCATGGCACAGAATCAGGTTATTTACAAGACTGCCTGTCTCCAATTATCTCTGCCAGTCCCATTAGATCGAACAGAGTGAGCATGCTTTGGGTCCCTTCTTCAAAGATACCTAGCAGGATCCAGCAGAAAAGCCTTCTCTATTGCAGTGCCTGCCCTGTAGAACAACATTCCCCTTGAGTTTCAGATGGCCCTGACTCTTCTGTCCTTCCATAAAGCCTTAAAAACCTGGTTCTTCCCCTGGGTATTGAGCCAGTTTATTACTTTGCATTCTATTCTATTTTTAATTCCTTTTTTTCATATGCAGTATCTACAAATTATAAGTTGACCAGAGTAGCTCAGTAAATTGGTGGCCTTATAAATCAAATTAAATAAATATTTTAAAAAGAGACTCCAGCTAAAATCATTGGGGTGACTCAAAATATAATTAAAATATGCTCTGAAGAACTGAATATAGGCAACATCTTACTCATCCAAATACTTCAAGAACTAAATTCTCTGTATTTTTTAAATTCAGAAACAGCCTTGCTTTGAGCTCAAAGGGGTGTGAAATGGTTTTGTGCTAGTTACTAATGATGGCTGGTAAGGAGCACAGATAGCATATGAGGAAGAAGCTAATTACAGCAATCGTCTTCCAGAAGTTTAAAGTTCTTTTCAAGAAAACATACAGAAGAATCAAACAAGCTCTCCCTCAGCCCCTAACATTTTCTGTGCATAACACCACCTCAGCTAGGGAGAAAAGAGATTAAAACATAAAAAGAGGGCAATAAATCAAGAAGTAAATCCATGTTTTTTTTTCTCATTCTAAAAGCAAAAATAATAAAGTGTCCTTACTTAATTTTCTCAACATCCCCCCCCCCCACACACACACACAAAAGTGACACTGGTCCAACCACAGCACTCAAATTCCAGTCCTTAGATTTGACTACTATATCAGACTTCGTATGATTAGAAATTGATTTACCGCTGACAGTCCGAACGATGTACAATCCAAAAGGTACAAAGTGCCTGTCATCACGGCCGGTATAGGATAGCCGCGGGATTCCACCTGAGCTTTTGATGACCTTCATTTCTAACCTAAGTTACCAAACATATGGAGAGAGAGAAAAAGAGAAAGAGAAAGAGAGAGAGGGAGGGAGGGAGGGAGAATGACCAAAGATAGAGTGCATAAACTGTAAGAATCACAGAAGCTGAGAGAGCCAATGTGGCTTGGTAGCAAGTACACAGGACTTGGACAAGAGATGTAGTTTAAATTCTTGTACAATATAAACTCAGTGTTGGCCAAATCAGTAACAAATCCTTCGCTGTCCATCAGAAATAGTAGTTTATCTTAGACAGATGCTGTAAAGATGAAGAAATCATGGGGCAGTTGGGTCCACAAATTTTGGATGATGCTTGGTACCAATTAAAAAAAACTCTAGAATTCTACCCTCCTCCAAGGATTGGGGCCTTGTCCCTGACATTATGATGCACCTTCCAAACTCAACATGAAAACCTGTGACAAACACTCTGCTGGCTGCATATTCTGAATGCTCAAGAAGTACAGAGCCAATAGAAATTCCAACATCTGTCCATAATTTGAAGTATGAAATTTGAGGAAATAACCTTCCCATCCAATTCTAGAGGTCAGTAAAACCTTGAAGCCAGTCACATTCATCACAGGCTGGCTGAAGGCCCACAAAGGCTTTGAATGAGGGTATCAAGGGACTCAGAATATTATGAAGTATAATAAACATGAACATTGTGAGGAGAGCTATGGTCAAATTCTTCCATGAACCTCTGCCATAAAGAAATGCATGGCTTAAGGAGGAAAAATGATGGGGATTTTGATGAATTATTTTTTAGCACTAACTAGGATTGCATACAGATGACACTGATCTTAAAAAAAACAGGCATTTCTCCTAGCAGTTAAGCATCTCTCCCACTCTTGTTTTATTATCTTAGGGAAAAGTGATATCGCTGTACCACTCTGTTGTTGTTTTTTTTAACTCTGTTGATTTGGCTACAAGGAATAAACAGTTTTCCTTCCACTAGTCTATACATTTTCTTTTTCTACATGCTGATCAATCAGAGCTTAATAATACTGCTTTCCAAAACAGTAACAGAATTCTCACTTTTCAATCTGCAGAATTATATTATTATTATTATTATTATTAT